CTCCCTAAAAATACATGATTGATAAATTAATAATAAAATTGAAAAATAAATAATTTTCATAAAAAACCAACTATTTCATTTTGTATTTCTTTAATCATATCATAAGCGATTAAAACTTTTCTTTTATTGCCCATGACTTTAATAACATCTTTATTGTCTCCTTCACGTGCTAAAAAAATTCTCGTATCAGTCTCTTCTCTAATCTAGAATATTCAATTATATAAATAACAATATTTCTAAAGGTCGAATCACAAAAGTTAATAAATAATAATTACCTTTTTTATAAATATTGCTCTCTTTCCAGCACTAAGTTTGTGAAATTGTTTAAAAATAGGAATTTCCAACACATAGTTGATTTCATCCAATACTTCGGCCAATTTAGCTAATGATTTAAATGCTTTATTTACATCATCGTTCAAACCTTGTATTTTAACTAAATTATTTCTAGCCTCAACTAAAATATCGAACCAAATATTATTTATAAACTCTCAAAATACAAAAAATATAAACATATTAATACTATTAATACTATTAATTACCTGGACTGGGGAATATAATTTTAACATTAAATATTTTCTGAAGTTCTCGAACTTTTTCACCATTGAATCCAATTATCGCTCCGTGGTGACGTTGATCAATTGTTATTTCTTTTTCAATTTTACTTTTCAACTTAATTATAATTTCCTCCAATTCCTAACAAAAATTTTAATTATTAAAAAATTAGGAAAGAAACTATTTGATGGAAATTTATTAAAATACCCGATTTCGTTAATACATAATACTTGTAATTTTTTTTCTAAAAAAAAACATTAGAAATCTTTTAAAAACTTTTAAACCTATAAGTAATATTAAAATTAAAAGTTCATTGAATTTGTATAGAGTTATATCAAAATTCAATATTAAAATCCTCATTAATTTATTTTTTACTATAAAAGTATAATAAAAATTATCGGCATTTTAATTTAGAAATCGTGAAATTTTCAAATATTTATTAAAAGATTTAATTTTAATTTAATTAATAAAATAAATAAACTAGTACGGTCACAATTAACCACTTTGAAAATAGGCATTATCTATTTTGTCAATTTTTCTCCAACCTATTCATTCTAGCCATTCTTTTTGAAAATTAATTTACTTTAATGTGTTAAACTTAAATTCTGATTCATTAAAACATAATTTTGATACATACTTGAACTACTTTTTTCGTGGAATCCTTTGTTCCAGTTATACAAATTATGTCAGCCGAATTTTTCATACACGGTATTTGAATACGTGCTCCTGTACGTTTTTCAATATTCTTAAGATTAAGTCCTTGTTTGCCCAATAACGTACCTCGATGTTCTTTTGGAAACGGTGTAGTAGTAGTTTTAATCTGAAATTTTAATGTTTTAGTTAAAATTGCTAAAAAAAAAATATTTTTTTATTTATTTATCCATAATAAAACTATAAAATAACAAATGATTCATTAAACATTTTAAATTATTATGCACATTTATATATTATAATATTAAAAAATAATAATAATAATAATAATAAATTATTCATAATTTGTACACAACAATATAATAAATATTATTTTTATCAGTTTATCTTATTAATTCCAACTTAATTAAAATTTATTTACTTGAGTTTGTTCGAAGGTGATAATTTTTTGTTTTGCTCGTTCAACATTAACTCTATTGCCGCTGATTTGTAAAGTCAGATCCATGGTTTTTGAAACACAAATCTCTATTCCTACATTACACTCTTTCCCAATTTTCATATATGCTTCCTTACATTTTTCATGCTCTAATTGACTATTCCTGTCCCAATGTCTGTCTTGGGCAGGTATAGTAATTATCTATAAATTTTACAAAATAAAAATTAAGATATTTTATTATTTATATTTTAGATATAAATCAACAAAAACTTTCTAAACTATTACTATTCATACAGAAAAATGTTATTTAAAATCATAATAATGATGTTCTTTAATATGTAAATTATCGTTCTATAATTTTTATGTTATTTTTTATTTAACTTTTGACACAAAGTTATTATAGCTCAACAATTAAATCATGTAAGATAACTAAGTATGCATTTTAAAATTAATATACAATAATCATTATCATAAAATAATATTAGTAAAATATAATAATTTGAGATAATTATAAAATACGAGTTAATTTTAATTGACCAATTAAAATTTAAAGTAACGGATAACATATCAACTGGTTAAAGACGTGATCATTTAAATGAATAAAGTAGAAAAGAATTTGGGCTTAGGAGTAAGGTGATTGCATAGAAGAGCTATAATTATAAAAGAAAGGTAAATATAAGATTTATTAATGCCAGAAGATCTGAGATAAATTGGAAAACGGTATATCATCCATAGGACTATTTGGTAATTGGATATTATTAGAACCAGTGATGGAGGCGCAAAAAGCTTTGGAAAAAAGTTTGATAAGAGGAGACGTGAGTACAATATTTTTATTTTGATGATTACAAGTAGGTTGTTTTGCGACGTTTAAGAAGTAATTTATGTTTAGAACAACCTTTATAGTTGGAAGTATGATCACCCGCGCAAAAGCCGCACTTGGTTAAACTGCCTTTCTCTTTGATGTAACTGTTTCAAGAGTGATTTCCCCTGCGTTTAACACAGCGTGAAGGATGAAGGATCACCATCATTTCCGGTATGGTGATGTTAATAGTTAGCGTAGAGTGACCGTAGCTATGTCAATTTAGACACTGAGATGAATCACCAAAAGTCTTATTGGGTAATTCGACTTAAATTTTAGTGTGCAACATTGATGATTCATTAAAAATTGTATTTGGATTAATTGCAACAATGAACAGCGGAAGCGTATGGCCATTTTGAATAATATTCGTAATTCTTTTGCGGGAATCTAATTCCCATAGGGCATCTGATATATATAGTGTCCCGATGTTTTTATATTGATGGTAAACAAAAGATTCTTTGGTTATATTATGTACGTCATAGGAGGTGTCGAGTTTGATTTCTTTGTCCACTTTGCTCGAAAAGACAGTGAAACGATTAGGCGAAACTAATAGTTTAGTGTTTTTCCCCGTATGGATTGGAGAATTATGCTATGATAGCAGCGACCGTTTGGGTTTGGTAGTAAGCGGAAAGGGTATGTTGTTCATCTTGAAAGTGAAGTCGCATAAATACGATATATAATACCGTGAATACTTGTATAATACCGTGAACTGAACTAACTTAACTTAAATAAACTAATAGAGTAACTTAACTAAAATTGCGGTAACGGAACGGGCAAATTATAATCGCACTGACATGCGACCGTGTTACAAGTCAATATCAGACTGATCGTTCTAATACTTATTAATTACTATTAAAATGGCATGATAAATTACTTCGTTCACCGTTGAAGATTTAAAATTACTCCGTTTTTTAAATTGTGCAGTCCCAATTTTCTCCGAAGTTTTCAAAACTGGCAAAGTTGGAAATGCAAGATCGTAGTTGTTGCCATTACTCATAGCATCTCCTGAACTCGTTTGGCCAGACACCATTGATACATTCTTCATCATTGTAATTTATGTTCTAGACAATTACTTTCCTGAAACAAAATCTGAACTCTAAAATCAAAATGCGAGTGAATAAAAAAATTTAATTCGTTCGAATTCGATATCAATGTTCAACCAGTATTATGCTTCAGAAAGTGATGTGATACGTCATATAAATCAACTAAATGTTCTTCTATAACTATAAACAACTAACAAACTAAATCACCAATAGTTACAAATATGCAAAATATAATTCTATATCGATTAATAACGACTAGTAATGTAATGTTTTAAGTCTGTATTATCAAACGATAATCGATTGAAAAAATAAAATGTTCATATAAAAATCAAAAATGTATTTAAATATTAACTCTTTCATGCACGGGATTTCATAACTATTTTGACCTATATTGCACAGAAGATTTTTTTTTAGAAAAATTTATGTGATATAATAAATTATTATTCAAGTAAATAATAAGACTTTGGTGTTAAAGAGTTGTCGTTAGTGGGATGACGTATGTTCCACCATGCATTAAGTGTTTAGTTTTATGTTACACTACCAAAGTATACAAATATCATAAACACTTTTTTACTATATATTTATTTAATATATTATTTGTACAAAAATTATGTAATAAATGTATTGTATAATATGTATAATTTCGAGGCATAGGCCTGTAAAATATAAGTATTATATAAATACAATTAAATATTTATCATCCTTTTATTAATATTAAAAATACTGAACAGAAATGTTAAAAAAAAATTACCCATACAAGTTAAATTGCATTTATACGAGTATATATAATATTATATCATGAAATTAAAATTACATTAATGACTTAATTTTAAAACTTAAAAGACAATTGAAATGTACTATTATAATGATTTGTGATATAGTGCAAAACAATTTTTTTGTTTTCCCAAACAAAGGAATATCGCATACTGAGCATACCCATTCCGTTCGAATTTCCTTTTGTTTAGTACTGCATTTTGCACATCTCCTCCTTGTTCCTCTTTTAGGTTGATGAGCAGCTTGCTCGAATCTTATCGTAGAATTTACATGTGGCTTATATTTTTTCACAGCTACTGTCTGTTCTTTTGAAACGTTCTGAATTGATCGTTTTTCGACCAGCGTTTTTGAAACCAAATCGTTAGAAATTTCGCGACGAAAATTCTCCATAGTTATATTCATACCTAAATTATTGTAAATAAAGTTTTTGATAAAATTATAATAAATAATTAATAAAAAAAATTAAAAAAAAACTATATTGTTACCTGATTGTAATTTATATATGACATAAGAGTTAACTACTGCTGCATCAATGAATTGAAAAATAAAGTTTTTGCAACCGTTTTTTGCCTTTCGGTCTATCTGACAGGATTTCTTATTTTGGTCGAACTTATCTACGCAATTCATATGCTTATTATATTCGCTCAATACTATAGGACATGACATCATTGTAGTTGATCCATCTTTACATCGTCTTTGAACTTGCGTAGTTTCCGTTGGGAAAAATTGACAACAAACTCATTATTCTTTTGTCACGCCACTTAACAATTGATGTAGATTTTTCATCTATAGACCAATCATATTCTCCTAATGTTAAATGTTTATCGTTTTTCAATGCTGGTAAAAATTTTCTTGTAGGATTGACTGTTCCACATGCATTTATATTTTTTGATTTTAGATATGTCATTAGAGGGTAGCTGGTAAAATAGTTGTCAAAGAATAAACAATGATTTCTTTTTTGTAAAGGTTGAGATAGTTGTTTTACTACACGAGCACTTAATTGTTTTTCAGCTTTTTCACCAACTTTTCCCGTATAAATTTCAAAGTTCCATAAATAACCTTGTTTGTCAACTAAACACCAAATTTTAAATCCCCTCTTTATCGGGGTTTTCGGCATATATTGTTTGTTAGAATTTCGACCAGTGAATTTTACCATACTTTCGTCAATCGCAATTATTTTGGAGGATTATACGCTCTTTGAAAGTTGTTAAGAAGAGTCTGTATAAATGGCCTAATTTTGTATAATTTATCATACCCAGGCTGATTTTTTTTCGGAATAAGTGAATTATCATTCAAATGTAAGTGAGATAATAACTAACCGAATCGATTTACTGGCATTAAATAACTTATATAAGTATCATGCTAATAGGGTGATGTTGAACAATAATCCCTATAACTGCATTGCTTCTTGATACCCACTAGAAGTTGCATTCCAATAAAACATTTAATTTCAGATATATTTGTTCGCATAAAAGCTTTTCCTGTTTTCAATTGTTTTTGATATGCATATAAATTAGTATGATGAACTATTTGATCAACAATTACATCAGTAAATAAACATTTTAAAATGGTTGTTGGTATACAGTAAACATTGATAAATCATATATTACTGTTGTAGGGCCCTCTGGACTTGTAAATGGAAATAAATCAATTAAAATGTCGTTTTTTACCAAACTGGTTGAATTTCAATCTCAATATTTAATCACATTATTGAAAATATTAAAGTAATATATTATAATATATTTAATATTTATTGTATACTCATTGATTACGAGTATAATATAATCAATAGTGCAATTTTAAATTAATATTCTCAATTCTGTAATGAAATTTAATTTTGTTTAAACGTAATGAAAAATGTTTAATTTAATAATTTAGTGTGTTCAATTATTTTATATAGTGTAAAGTAATAATGTTTTGCCAGCCGAAAACATGGCGGACGTATGATAATCTTGCGTCCCCGGGCTTCACTTCTTTCAATGGAAAACATCGGTAGTTCGTTATCCAGTATAATATAGATATCTGTGTATTATTATAATAATATGAGTTATTTCCTGTCTGGAGGATATATTCACATTTATTGTCCGATTCATATACCGGGTTGTATGAAACCGAACTTTAAATTTATTTAATGATTAGTTCTAACGAGCAGTTAAATATTTTTACAGAAGAGTTTGGGTTGCACTAATCGTACAATAAAAATATATTGGTATTGAACATGTTACCGTGGTTTGTGTAGAAATTTAGGTTTATCACAGAAAAAGTGATAATATCTTATGATCTAGATACCATATCAACAGCTGTTTGAACTTTTATTTTGAATATGTATAATAACAATTGCTAAATTCTACAAGTTTTTAATCTGTCTTCGGGGTTTTAGATCTGTACTTATTTTATAATTTTATTGTTTTTTCAATTTCTATAATTTCAATTATATAATATAAAAAATGGCTGAACATACACAAAAACGGCTGAGAGGAAAAAACTTTACCAAAAGGGAAAAATAGCTATTAATTGACTTGGTATTGACTTTTATGCCCATTATTGAAAATATTAAAGTAATATATTATATTATATTATTTAAAATACTTGAAATTCTCCTGTTGCGTGATAACGTACTGTTACTAAAATTTGAATTTTTGGAGAAATCGCGAAACTTCTACGAGAATTGCGTAATTCTTCTCCAATCAAATTACATAAAAAAACCAAATGTTTCCTTTGATAACCTGTTTTTAAATTTAAAAATGATGTACATTTTAGTGTAATTTTATTAAACTACCATTCATCGTAGGCGTAACTAGGAGTGGCCTGCGACCCCCCTGCCCGAATTTTTGGGTAAATGTATGTGCTTATACACTAGTAAATAAATAATAAATATAATACTAAGAAATTAGTATTAACTTTATTTTTGCCTGCACTATAAAAAAAATATATTGTTTCATATAAACGAATAATTATTCAAGCCAGTTAACATCAATAGAAACCAATAAATAATAATCTAATTAAAAAAAATTCTCTACAAAACATTTTTTTGTAATCTAGCCATCCCCCATACTTAAAGGACTAGTTACGCCAATGTCATTTTAGTCTGTAGTTGTCTAATGTCAATGTCAAACAGTCCAATGTCTGTAGTTCTTACCTATATATTATGATAATAATATATATGAGTGAACTTGGCCAGGGTGGTGGGGTGGGAAGTCCGGATGGGCCGGTAGGATTATTAATAATTTTTACTGCATTATAATGGGATATTTTTAGATTTTTGTTATAAATAAAACTTAATACATATTTAGAATATAAATAATATTATAAAACTAGTTTGGCGTTATTAACATTTAAATTTATAACAATATATAGGCTATATATATTTTTAAAACACCTTACATAAATCGACACTTAAAATTGAGATCGTCGAATTCCTCCAAAGGATTTGATCGATCTCTAAGTAACCTTGGTCTAGATAAATGATACAAAATATCCAAAACAAATTCATCAACGAAAATTGATAAACTTGTATCAGAACTTGACATTTTTATTATTTTCAGTTATAACTAGTAAGTAAAATATAGTAAGTAGATACGACCAACTACAGTGTACAGTGACGATAATATTTATAATCAATGGTACTACTGACACCTAAAAACGTACGTTTGATAACTGTAGGATTATCGAATGATTAAAATTTAAAGAGCCAAAATCGGCCCATTAGTTTAATGAGCTGGTAACCTATATTTTAACGGCCCGTTAAAACTATTGAACGTTTAAAGATTGCTTAACGAATCAATAAAAATTTGACGAGCCGTTAGCGCGCTAATGGCTTGTTAAACGTTAAACGGACGTTCATGCAACCCGGCAATACTCTTTTAATCAGCTTTTAAATTCTAGATTTTAATGAATTGTATATTATTAAAAATGATTAAAAGCATATTTTTACTAACTAAACTATTATACGTACCAGACATATTTGAAAAGTTAATAATTTCTTTTTCAATACACATTCCATGATGATCATTTAAATGATTTATTAATAAAACTTTTTTAGAAAATGTTAGCTTAGGACAAGTAATACATTTAGATGATTTTTGTTTTACTTAATTTATTATATCATGTTATTTTTCAAATGCCTTGTAAGTGTAAACTTAGTAGAAAATTGATTTTTGTAAATACTACAATTAAATTCCATTTTTTATTGTATTTAAAATAATTAAATAGAAGTATTATGTTAAAACAAAAAAATCAAAACAGCAATAACTATCTAATATGTTGAGATAGCTTTTAATAATGTTTATTTATATCTACATTTACCCAATTACCTATTTGAGCATTTCATAAACCAGACTTTATCAAAATTTATTACACAGAGGCTATTTATTAAATGTTTTATTGAGTATTAACAATACAATTCACGAACATCTTAAACATAAAAATTCAATATTATCTAATATCTATATAAATTACATTATTTTAATAGTAAGTACAGGTATGAATTATCAAAACCAACTAATGTTACTGGATGGCTAGATACATTTGGTTGCTAATGCTGTTTCGCAACTTTTTTAAAAAATATAAGTACATTACAGTAGAGTTGAAACTGAAAATTATTCTTTAACAACTAAAATAAAATGACAGTATATTATTTACATAAAACGTAATTAAATTTTAAATAGTTTTATTCATAACTCATATTATTATAATTATATTATAGTGATTGATAAGATATATTGATAATATATAGCCTAACATTATGATAGTAATGAATAAATTACGCGCATGCGCAGAATGCATAAGGTGCATTCATGTTTTTAGACTCTCCTCTCTTGAACAGGGCACAAATCAATGATAGTAGTCTAGATGATGATAGTGTTATAGATTACATAAAATTATAAATATAATTTGTGATAGTTTTCCAAAAAGTGATAATGAAACTGCTGCACTACGTGACGTCACTCCGTCGTCGATCTATATCACTATAATAATAATAAAATATCCGTCACAATAATATAATACTTTCATCGGCTATATAACAAATTATTTAATATTGGTTTTCAAATTTTGAATTCTTCAATTTTTGCTATTATTTCAGCTTTACGGCGGTGCGGCCCCCGACAACAACCAGATCGTTGTTGTGGCGGCGTGGCACGACGACCTGTGATCGGTACAGTACATCGTCCTATGCGGTTCGATATCCGCCGGCGATTTTAACCGTTTGATTTGCGTCCGTCGACTCGACGGTGAAATGGCTTATGACGATAACAATTTCGTCCGAAGCATATTCTGCCCGCACGTGGCCGTTTTGTGTTCGGATAAGGCGCAGGAGATGTGTCGGAAAAATAATCTCAGCTTTTGCGAATTGCTCAATCCATTTGCACGGTTAGATGACGGTAAGGAAACCCATCTGTATTTTGATGTTTTTCTGATTTCAATGGTTCCCAGTCAATACAGCAGTGTATTTTTGTATTTAGTTAGTTTCAAAGACCCAAGTGGCAGTACGATAACTGTTGCTCATTTACGAATAGCATTTTCCAATATGAATAGCCCACCATTGCCTGTAACCAAAGAGAGGAGTCGTTTACAGGATTCTGTTAATGTTACTACCGATCCATGTAACATCACAGTTCATATAGGTAATGCATTCATTGCTATTATTGTTTTGAATATTTGATGTTATGATTGTATACTTAATAGGTGGACGAGAACTTATAATACCTGAGAACACACCATGGTTTACAAAGTGGAGAACAACATTTTTACAGATTCAAAACGTATCAGATCATGAATATACTAGACATTTTTTAGGATGTATCCTTTTTAAACATTTTATTTTTTATACTTTTCTTCTATTTTGAACAACCAAATTTTCTTCACTATTATTTAACATCAGGTATAATGGTAATAAGCTCTTCTGATGAAGAACAAGTTACAAAATTAACACAACAAGTGCAACAATCAATTTTACCTAATCAAAATCAATCACCTAAATGGTTTCATACTACAGTATTGAGATATTATGTTGTTTTACATGATGGTTTAGATCCTGATTTGAGCACGTAATTTTATATTTAACATTTAATATATTTGATATTTTAAATCATTTACTAGTTATTTTTATTTTAGATCCAATAAAATTATTGAAACCTTACAGTCAACATATGGACACAGTAGTTGCCATCTTCTTAGATTAAATTCATGTAAAGGTCCTAAAACCGAATCAACGAAAGGTATATGGGATTATTTAAATAATTCATTCAACTCAGATGATAGTACTGAAACTCATGATCAGAGTGGAGAATTTGAGAAAAATTTAAATATAGATGGTTCTCTTATGCATCCATTAAGTCCACAAGAGTATAGCAAGAACTTGAATGGTGAATCAAAAAAAGATAGTCAAAAAGTATATGGTGCTTATTTAGATGAAAATGATTATAACAATATAAGAGAATTGACTAAACATTTTGTTTCAAGATCATTAATACCTTATATTGAATCTCAGATACAATCTTTAAGTGAATCGGTATTCAATCATATATTTTTATTTATTTTAAGTTTAATAATATTATAAATCATTTTTTAATTTTTTAGGTAACAAACAAAAAAGGTGTAAGTCGGTCACTTTTGAGTGCTACCAAAAGATGGTTTAGCACAAATAAACCTACTGCAGCAACTCTTCCACCTACAGTAGTGTTAGTAAAAAAACAATTGTATTCATATTATTGTAATATTTTAATGTTATTATTTTATTTAGTTATAATAGTGATTCACCAGAACTTCAAACCAGACGTTTAGCTGATTTATACATGATTTTGGGGGCTTGGTCTCTTGCTTTTCCATTGTATCAGAGTGCAAAAAGAGACTTTAGTGCAGACAATGCGTGGTTATTATATAGTGGTGCTGTTGAAATGGCTGCAGTTTGTGCTTTAATGTGTCCTGGTATATGTGATATAAAAAAAACCATAGAATATGCTAATGAAAGTGTATTAACATATTTGAATACTTGCAGGTCAATATTTATAATTTTAATTAATATTTAAGTACTTTTAACAATTAATTTGTTATTTCTAATATGTAGGGCTCCACAATTTGCCACAAGAGCTACATTATTGTTATGTGAATTACTTGTCAGTCGGGAAATGTATGGAGAAGCAGCAAAAATGTTTATTCAGATGACAAATGAAGACTCAGATTTACGTAGTGCTTTATTATTAGAACAGGCTGCATATGCTTTTCTGAAATCTCAAAAACCACCTATGTTAAGGAAATATGCTTTTCATATGGTATTGGCTGGCCATCGATACTCAAAAGCATCACAAAGAAAACAATCTCTAAGCTGTTACCAACAAGCATATCAGGTACAGTTTTTTAATTAATCATAATTTAATTGTAAGCCAGTATTGAATTATAATTAATTTATTCTGTAATATAATAACAAATAATAGTTTTGAATTTGAATTCATATTATTATAGGTTTTTGAAGGTACTCATTGGACGTTAGCAGAAGACCATATACAAACAGCTATTGGTCGGCAGGCAACATTTTTGAAACACATTAAACAAGCCTCTGAAGCTTATTCAAAATTATTGGCCAGAGCTTCAAGTCAACCACCAGAACAGCAATCTGCTATTCTGAGAGATTATTTGAATATTAAACTGGTATAATAAATGAAATGTTTAAATGTACATTATCTTAGAGGGATTAACATTTATAGGAATATGCAGCAGAAAAAAATGATTCTTCTATCATCAATTTAGCTCTGCCTCTCATAGATCAGAAAAAAATCAAAATATTATTAAATGCAGATAGTATTATTACCAAAGAACATTGTTTTGATGAAGATTTACTGGATCCCAGGTGGTATAAAATGGAAGAAGATTTAATTACAGAAGCTCGAGGAATACCTCCATTAATATTCAAACCAACCTTTGCTTTTCATGGTAGCAATGATACAATTAAAAATGTGTTGTATGAAAATGGTAAAATAACTCTTTTTTTAATTAGATTTATCTAACATTGTAATTATTTTAAGTTCAATTATTCATATTGTCCGTACAATATTAAATGTCAATAGAATTGGTACAAGTCCAAATGTTATTATCAAATCCATTGAATATATCATTATGCATTGAAAACTTATCATTGACATATGCTTTTGATGAAGGAAAAATATTGGTAGAACCACAAGTTTTAGATGAATTACTGTTAGCACCTTCTAGTACAACCCAAGTAATATATATATATATACATATTAATAATGTAAATCAATTAAATTTAATGTTTTTCATTTCTGTACCTATAGGTTATTCTTGGTTTGAAAACTAGAAGTATTGGGATTTTATCTATAACTGGTATTCAGTTTAGCCTAATTATTCCATCTGTTATGAGTGATGACACAGTTAAACGAGTGATAAATGGTTGGCAATGTTTTGAGACATTAAGTTCTATAAAATTTAATATTCAGCCTCCAACTTCTTTATTGAAGGTAGTAAGCAGTTTATTAATTAATTAATTGCTTAAATATACATGTATTAAAGTTTTATGAGTTATGAGAAAATGTATATGTAATGGACCATCTTAATAAAATAAATGGTTAAAGTACTTGACATTTGCTATTGCAATATGAGTATGTAGAATTAAAGTTAAATATAGCAGAATTTAAACACTAATTCATATTTTCTACTCTACAATTATTGTTGTTAATTAGTTGTCAATTTATGATAATTTAATGTCCTTCACTCTTACTTTTTTATGCTATGTATTAGTATTGCCATGTATTATTATTATTATAAATTAATTAAAAATTTATAATTTAGAAATCAACATGGATTTTTGAAAAATATATTTATGCCATTTGTTTGATTGTCACTTACTGAAAATATAATTGAATATGTTGTCATAGTTTAAAAAACAAAATTTAAATATTTTTACGTATTAGCTTAATTTATTGTTTTTTTTTTTAAATTAGAGAGTTGAAGATAATGTTAAATTAAAAATAATATTATGTCATACTGATTTTTATTGATTTTAGGTTGATTTTGTTGGTAATCAAGTGAATACATTGATTGGTGAAATGAATGTTATACAATTGACATTAGAAAATAGTGGCCCAATACCATTGCATAAAATTTTTGTTTCAACTTCCATTGAAGATTCATTTTTCTCTGAATCCAATCATTCTTGTAAGAACAAAAAAGTTCGGAGTTTACCATTTCAAATGCTTCCAAATTCAAAAAATACAGTAGAATTTTGTTTCAACAGTCCAGACATGGAATCTTTCACTCTTGACTTATTATTTTATTATGAATCTCAACTTGAAACAAAAAAACTCGAGTACAGATTATGCAGAGCTAGCTGGATTATGACAGCAAAACCTTGTGTAAGGATTTCTGCTTCAGCGTTACTCGCAAACCAAAATAGTGAAACCCTTAATCTTAAAACAACGGTTCATAATTTATATAAGGTAAGTTTTTAATTTCTAAATTAGTTGTTATTTTTCAATAAATTATTATTTCAGGGAAATGATATGGAGCAAGTAAAATTAAAGCAAGTACTATTATACAGCTCAGAATGGACTCTATCTAAAAAGATATACCCTCAAGGAAGTTTACAAGATTTAGATCAACAACAGTCATGTCATTTATTCTTACAAGCTTGTCGAATAAATGCAAATGGTATTTCTAAAATTAATTTTGATAACGAACAATTTGCACAATCTGACATGTGTGAGAAATTTGTTTGTATGACCAAATCATCAAAAGAAACTAAAATGCCTAAGTTTGATAGACATAAAGTTCAATCAAAAGTTATGAAATGTATTGATCTCGTTTTGGCAATTTTATGGCAGGTAATGTGATCTGAATTAATTGATTCATACAGTTTTTTTTTTTTTTTTTTTGATTATATATCTTATTACTTTAGTTTATTTTTAGGTGGTAATCAAAGATCATTCAAATCAATTGAGAATTATATGTGGTATTCACAGGGTTTCATTGACTAAATTAAATGCAAGTGTTGCATGGCCTGAATTTGGATGCTTAGATTCATCAAAATATATTACTAAGCCTATCAATAGATTAAAAATATTTGGACCTGATCGAAATATACATCCATTTGATGGGACTCCTTTACTCAATGATACAATAGGATTGTTAGAATCGCCTATGAATCGGTTACTTATTGTTGCTTTTTCACATCCTAGTACTATTACACATTCATTTGTTGACAAAAAGTAAGTTTCCTTTTCATAGTATTGTTCAGTATATTGAAGTTATAAATTTATCTTTAATTTTATAGAATGTGTATTGTGTCTGTACTGATAATACTTAAGAATTGTGTTGAACATGAAGTTGAAGTTAAAATTGAAACAGATACGGCTAGTTCAAAGTTAGTATTATTCATTCATTTTTTATTAATGTAATTATGTCTATATAAATAATGTTGAGTTAATAATTACTGTAATTTTAATTAATTATCAACTTTTCTATATTTATTTAACAAATTTTGTGTATTGACTACCTTTAATATTCAATTTTAAACAATTATGCAAAATAATAAGATTTTATATTAAATCAGTTTTGTTTATTTTTTAGATCAGACATCGACAATCAGCATTTTTGTTGGATTGGAATGACAAACCCAAAGCCATTTTTCTTGCCTGTGTTGGCCACACGCACTATTAGACTATATGCTGCAGTTGCATCTCAAGGCTGTTATAAAACCACGTCTAAGCTTGACATATTAGCACGACCACATGTGTCTACCCAACATGCATTCCTAACCCAAATTATTTCTTCTTCTTCTTTATTAGTCATTAAAGACCCTAAATCTGAGGTAACTAGTTAATTTTTGCTACTTCGCTTAGGTCTCAATTTATTATATATTTTATTTTTCATAAAAGAAAAAAGTCATAAAAAAAAACATTATACTTATAAATATATATTATATAAAATTAATATAACTTGGTAGAAAATTTAAAGACTATGAGTATTGATTTTCCATTATTCCATCTATTGCGTCTTTGATTGAAGCAAATTTCGGCCTGTTGGCTGGGTTGGACTGCCAGCATCCAAGCATAATTTCATAAAGTCTGTAACAGCATAGATTAGGTCTAGGCAATCGATAACCCCTGCGCAGTACTTCGTATATCTTTGATAAACATATGGTAGGATAGGGAATACTTCCTAACATCATGATCTCCCAGAGAAGTACACCAAACGACCATACGTCGCTTTGAGTCGTGTAAACCCGATACTTGAGCGACTCCAGAGCCATCCACTTGATGGGCAGCGGATCACCGCAATTTGACTTCTTATAGTGATTCTGTTCATAAATATCGCGACTTAGACCAAAATCACAAATCTTTATCGTATGGTAATCGCTCAGCAATATGTTCCTGGCAGCCAAGTCTCGATGTACTATGTGATTCTGTTCCAAGAATACCTATATCATCCGTACACAAATAGGTATAGGTATTATCACTACATATGTGTTGTTTTCTTTTACTTTTATTTGTATATATTTAAACTGAAAATAATTGCGAATATTAAAAATATTTTTTGTATATTGTTGTGTAAGGTTATAATTTATTAATGGTAATAATGTTTATTATCTAAGAAATATTGGTAGTAAGAAAAAATTTGGTTAAAACCGAATTAGTTATATTATTTATTCATTTATTTTAATAATCTGAACTAATTCTTTTATATATTTTAGTTGTTATCAATGTAAAAATAATTTTTAGTATAAATCATAGACATATAAAGATATCTTTATATGTCTATGGTATAAATACAAAACCCATAGCTTTACCATTCCGTTTGCCACTTGGCTGGCGAAGCGTATCAAATCTTCAATTGTTAAGAATACGTTTTCTTCGTCGTGGTACAAGTAACAATTGTTGAAGACCATCGGTGGTGATCCACCGTTAGTCGCCAACGACGTATTTCCAGTGTCTAACATTGTATTCTCCTTGTCGTTCACGGTAATCGGTAGACCTACTCGATCGACATTAAAATCGTTGACGTACCACGATTTTATATTGATCTATACAAATGTTAAACAGTTAAACTTGCACAGCGTGAGACTTATGTTGATAAATGGAGGGAATCACTAGACTCATTACACATGTTTACATGGGAATACTTAGATTGTACTGTGCCAGTCGACGACAAGTCAGTTCAGTGGTTGGTTTTTAGGTCAAAGGGTCGGAAAATTTATAATTAGAAGTAATTTATTTGCTCCCAAAGGTTTTAGTAAAAAAATGTATAAATGTATGACTTTTTGTTGATGATTATTTAAGTAATTATATTAATTTACTTATTATTTGAAGATTCTATTAACAAAAGTCAATAAATCATTTTCGAATAGGGGCGCTCCAAGATAAGTTAAAAGCGACGAATACTCTCCGTGGTGAAATTCCACACACAAAACTGTGGCAACTGCCATTGCACTTTATGTAAATAGTTATGGGTACGTACATTTATAAATATGTTATTAGAGAAGAAACAAAAGCAGTGAGAGTGGTTATGAAAATGAACGTTGAAGGGAAAAGTGGAAGAGGAAGGTAATTAAAAAAGAGATAATTGGATAAAATCGAGAATTATATGAGGGCTGTTGGTGTGTGCGTAGGGGATGTAGAAAATCGAGACGAGTGGAGGTTTAGGATAAGGGTGGCCGATCTCAAATATTTGGGATAAAGGCGAAGAAGGGAAAAAAGATTAATAATGTGGTATAATAATAATAATGGTAATTAGTTACCTACACGTTCAGTTGTCTTACCTTCCTTAAGTACGTCTGCAAGTCACCCAGCGGACAGTACTCGACGACCAGCATGCACCGCTTGTTCACGTCCAAACAGCAGCCGATCATGGACACGATGTTGACGTGCTTTCCAACCGTCTGCATGAGAAGTATCTCATGGATGAACCGTTCCGATTCACGACCGGTGGGATGGTCGCGCAACCATTTGACGGCCACCGGAAGCTCGCCGCCGTCCGTTTTCAGCACGGCCTTGCGGACCTCACCGAAGTTTCCGTGACCGAGGACCACGTCGGACACGATCACGTCTTCGCGTCTCAGTACTACGTCCACGTCGTCCAGGCCCTGGAGTGCAGCCATGTCGTATCCCACACCGGCCGCGACCACCGCGCTCGCCTTACGGTCGTCATCGGCCGCCCAACGCCCGTACGCGTACTGGCCGAGCGTGAGTGCCATGCAACAGAACGCGAACGCAGCGGCCGTCCACAGGTAAAACGAGCCATGGTCAACCGAGCCCTGTATGTACTTAATACGCCGCGGCTCGCGCACCACCGTCTCGTCGCTGTGGTCCGTCCGCGAGAACGCCTGCACGCTCGCGAAGTAATGTTCACTAAGCGGCACGTCCTTGAAGTACGCGTTGTTGACTGTCCCCGGCACCTGTTGCTTCGCGCCATCCAACTTGACGGTGAAATAATCGACGCCCACACCGCCCGTATTCCGACTCTTCCAGCTCATCTTCACGTTGTACCTTCCCTCACCTCGGTCCAACGTCTCGTCCACCGACAAGTTGTACGGTGTCCCGGGAGCTAAGCGAGAAAAACTGTTTGTACGGGTACGGCAGTAATATTGGATTTTCGAAAAAGAAATCCACCACGCTTGTAACGTCTGAGATTCTGGGGTCTTATCCCTTTGCGTATCCAGGAATTTTTTCTGAGGGGGAGGGGACTGATCAGTTACATCAGTGGCGTAATTATGGGGAGGGGCAAGTGCCCCCTAACAATTTTTTGAGAGATAAAGGTATAATTTTGCCCCCCTCCCCAGATAATCCAACAGTACAAATAGCACCTTTTATTAATGAACTCTTATGGGTGTTATTTAACAATATTGGTACCTAGTACCTGCTACCTACAATTTATGTTAATCTGAACCACAAAATGAGTTAAAAGACTTATGTAAAATCAAACAATTAGATATACTGTATAAAATACATACAATAAAAATATGTTTTAACTGGTGAGGGGGAGGGGTGTCTGGATTTTGGTAATAATAAATATATTACATTGCCCCCCTAGATTTTTTCCCAGTTACGCCACTGAGTTACATAAAACATTGAAAAAGAACAATAGGTATTTACTGTAGCATAAATACTCAGAACGGTAAATTAAATCAAGATACCGAACCTAAATTAATTTCGTGTTATTTCAGATTATTAGATTAATATATATACATTGGATAGGTAAATGCAATATAATTTTAAATTTTCTGAAATTTCGATGAGAGTGGGCTCTAATTCCCTCAGTCATCCTCGGATACGCCATTGCTCCAAACATATAAAGTATCGCGGGCATTATAATAAAGATGGCCAAACGGTCATCTCCGATAATTTGTTTGCTGTTATTTGTACTTAACAGTTGTTTATCGATTGCACACTTTTTTCCGTTGATCTTCTGTTGAATAATATTCGATAATATAGTTTTCCTATTATAGATTTATAATTACAGTCTTACAGTGTTTACAATAATAATTAATTAGCCATTTCCATCACAAAATAGATATACTTTCGCGTGACTAATTTGAAATTATAGAGGCAATTGACATTTTATTGAAAAGTAACCATCACCCCACTTATCAACCAAAACCAACCCCCATATCTATAGTTGTTAAAAAATTATTAAAATGTTATTTTAACGACTATTTTCTTAATTGCTTAGCTTTTACCCATAACATATTGGAATCATTCTTATTCTGATATTTTTATACCTCGAGAATTGAGTTTATTTATCTCCATTATTTTTTATTTACACGGTATATCAAAGGTATTGAACTATGAGTTAATATGAAATTAGTAATTGTGCATATTGTACTCTATAACACACAGTTTCTAAGAATTTGTATAAAATCTCCATGCATTATGCTATTTTAATAAGTGTACAATTTTTTTTTTTTTTTATTAACATGTATTGATGTCCATTTATGTTTGATCGATACAAGAATATTATTTGGATACCGTTATATAAAATAAAACTCATCTGTGACGTGTTACGTGTTACGGGTGTATTATACAGAGACATAGGTACTCACGGCATGAGATCGGATCAAAACGTTCCAGACATGAGGGTGTAGAGAACACAAAGATGATGTTTTTACTGGTTATGGGTGGTGAAGTTTTCCTATAGTACGCCCGTATCGACACCGTGTACACATTGTCAATGGTCAGGGAAGTCAGCGTGACCGGATACGACTTGGCGACATCCAGATAAAACCATTTCGGAATTTCCATCTTCTTTGGATAATATATGATTTTGTAATTGCAATTGTTGTCTGCAATTTATAATCAATGAATGGACAATATCATCATTCATACACGATGAATATATTATTATATACTTGTTGTTTATTTAACGCAATGTTTCCCGGTAGATGAGGGGAAAATTCTTTTCTAGGATAAAATGTATGGGTACTACATGGGGGTGATGATGAAATTGCAATATTTGTTAAAACATAAAATTTACAAGTTTACAATCTATAAAATTGATAATAATTGAAAAATGTATTATCTTGTAATTTTCTCTACATAATTTTTTATTTAACTATCAACATATTACTATTATTAATTGTATCAACACTATACTAAATATAATTTAAGTACCCTATTGGAAAATATTACAAACAAAAATTATTATAAAACTATGATAAATATAAAATATATTTTGGGTACTCAAAGTGAACGACTAGATTGTGAAAAAAATTGCATGATGTCAAATTGGAGTGACCGTTTCATGAAAAAGTTATTTCCATTTCATGAAATGGTCAATTTCACTAAGTGGCTACGAAATATATAATAGCTAACAGATTATATAGGTATCTGTGGGAAACATTGATACAATGTGTCCCCGTACAAGATAATCTATGGGTCCTACTGACAACAGGAAAAAAATATATAATAATATATACATATTTATTAATAGCGGCTCCATGGTATACGTTCTGCACATCGGCTTGTATGCGTACCTATTGATCGTTCCCACGTGAGCGACGTTTCGATCGATCTAGAATTATTATTTTTTGTGTTCAACGAATTATTGAAACCAGAAATTTGGATTGCGCGAACAGGGTCTGGGACGCGTGCTTTGTCTAGTGTCTTATGGACCGGCGTGTCCATTACGCGGTATACGATGCCGTCCGTCACCGTCCAAAACCTAGCCGCGTGTTCAGTGTTCGGCATTAGATCGTCGAAACGGATGTATGACAACGAGTTCACCTGTAGATCCATATGAATAGAAACCAGTTACTTTTTATAGTTATAGTTTTAGTCATTAACAAGTGTTAAACAAATATCATGTAACAATTAGATTTTCATTTTTATAACAATTACTGAAACATAATATGATGACCGTCCATAATTTCTGTAAGAACTAAATTTCCATGCTCGTCCACTAGGTTAGTTATCCCACTATTATTACATACGTCGGCAGAGATCCAATTACGCATTTATCATACGTAATTTAAACGTTTTGCTGTTAATCTACTTAATATTAATATTTTGACTTTTAATTCACTAAACTGTCATTCTAACATCGTCTTATATTGTCTACAGTATAATAAGAAATAGAACATTATGTTAGTTGTTAATCTCTTATCCAGGAGTGGGATAGCCCACTATATTGATTCAGAACTCGTTGATAAATAATTATTATGAATGTTCGTAAAAAATATAAAACATATTAATTCATTTGGAAAGGGGTTAATAACTTATTATTGTTAAAAGCTGCATTTTTATAAAAATTTAGTAATTGCTATTCTCAATTTTCCTGAATATAGGGTCTTTTATAATTATAGGAGAGCAGGTGGTTTTTATTAGTCCATTCCGTTCTTGCTATTATTTACCAATTTAAATATAGTGAATTCCACTTAATGTGAATACGTTAAGACCAAACCCATCTGCCCATATTAAGTGGTTGGGTATATAAACCGAACTTAATTCAAAAACACCAACATTTTCAATTGAAAATTTTTTATTGTGCGCACGTAAGACATGGGTTAGAAAAAAATGTTAAATTAATTTAATAGATAAATAAATGATGATAGATAAAATTATAATGAATAATATAATCTCGGGACAATTAATTTTTCAACAACTTTACGTTGTTTAATGCCTGGAGGAATAGACTTCACTTTGTCCAAAACCGCGCGGAAACCTTTTTTTCTAGATAGTCGAAAACGTTCACTATCGCGTTGAAATTCATTTGTAAACGTGAAATAATTGTCGAGTAAGAAAAAGAAAGCTGCAAGTTTATCACTTTATTTTTTTTTTTGTTTTTTCTGGCTGAAGACTGAATCACCATCCCTATTTAGGCCTTGGATAGTTAAAATATTTCAAATACCACATTAATTTTCAATTTATTAATTAATATATTAAGAGCAGTACTATACTTATAACATATTATATTACTTATCGACATTTAGGAGTGATTGATAATCATGATTATTTATATAGTCCTTAATAGTCTTAACCTAGAAGGATAAATACAGAGGATCGGTCAAATTAATTTACCAATAAACTGTGATATTTTTTTCAACTATTTAATATTTTGCACTTTTTCCTATTTTGTTATATAATTTTTGCAATAAAAGGTAAATTCATTATTAAAGTTTTTTATTATTATTTTATAATTGGTTTTATTGCCTCAAAAATCAACAAGTCGGATAAACAAATATATTTTTGGTTTCTATGAGTTATGATGAAATGTCGCAAAACCCATTTAACTACCCTAAATATCGCCGATTGGTTTATTTTTTATTAATATTTCATTTTGAACTTTTCAATAACAAACCTTCTTTATTATACGCATGTCTACACGCGATGTATTGTAAGACAAAAACTCGACAAATATTAGTACCGGATCGTTGTAAGTGGTTGCATTTCTCTTATCATCCCAAACAAAGGTCAGTGAATCAAATTCACGACACAAAAGCCTTGCATTGTCTATCACGCTCATGTCACCTGTAACATATAATACTCGTATTTTCAATAATATTTTAAGAACAAATAAACATAAATAATAATATCTCGTTTTATTTAAATTAGGCTGTGTCGTTCGAAAATTATTATTGTATAAAAGCGTTTTATAATGAATAGTATGGACAGAATAGAAAAATTTAGTGGCAAATCATGGAACGAGTGAGTAGCGTAGGTGGTAGAGTTCAAATCAGTTCGCTGCAGAGTTCAAATCTGCAGATGACCTGTTATAGTAAATAATCTAAGTATTGTATTTGGTCGGATGATGGTACAATTAATATGACTTGGCTGTTTATTGTAATATTGATGTAATGGTCATTTTTCAAGGTAAATGTAATAAAAATATAATAAATAACTATAGATAAATTATAATAACTAAAAATTAAAAATTTATTCAATTGTTACTTCTGTACGACCGCCAGTCTTTAACGCACGTAAAATTTTTCTGAAACAAAAAAAAAAGTTCCATCGTCATACAATTTGCAAATAATATTCTGATACTGTAAATCCATAGTATATTTTATTTTGATTTCCTGTCTCTGACGTAATATCGCATAGAGGGTATTTGATTATTACAGTATCAGTTACTGTAGGGTTGTACCTATTATGTATTAGGCATTGTACGTATTCTGTATTGACAGTAAGTTGTAGACATTGTAGAGTTTTGACTAATATCATTGATTTTATTAAACAAAAAAAACGGTTACATTGTTTTACGTAATGCGATTGTGAATTTAAAATTTAAATCGATATAACTCCAGTGATAATTCGAAATATAACATTTGTGAATTGAATGAACATGAACATAAATACATATACACGTGTAAGATGTATAAGTATTACACAGATATGTACATATATATTCGGAAAGCGATCGGTATGCGGACCACCTCGACATCAACGATTTGTATGCGTATTAACATAATCATTTATAAGACGTTCGCCTCTAAAAATAAGTATTTGTACACGAACACTGACGACATAGCAAAGATATCGGTAGGTAAGAAAAATATGACATGGTATAGGCATATATAATATAATAGGCACGTCAAGGTGTAATTTTTTCTATAATACTTTGAAATTCGAGGCCAACTGATAACACACCAATTTTTTTCAATAACATAATAGTGTATAAATAAATATTTAAAATCAACGTGTATATAATAGACAATTCAATGTTACTAAAATTTAGACTCTATAAATACTAAATAGTATAATATACTATTATACTGTACAATTTATGAATTTTAAAACCGTAACCATAACTGGTATCTGCCCTCCATAGTCCATGCAACATCTATACAAGCATATATTATTATATGCTTGTATTATATATATATATTATATGGTGGAAGTGGCGTGTCCAGAAATTTCATATAGGGGGGGATTCTATCTGATGGTGGAGTGGGAACTAAATCTAAACAGGGAAATAATAGTTAAACCTGGTAAATTTTAATAAGAATAAAGAAATGGTTTTCTCGTTGCACTCAAAACGCCACTTTTATGACTTTTTTCGTATCATTATCCTAATAATTGTAACTTCACTTAAAATTACCTTTTGATTTGCTACAAATTACTATTTTATTAATTTAATATGAGTATATTATACCACCAAAAGGTACAAGAGTAGCTAGAGTAGCAAGAATAGAGCTACCCTACTTACTTATTTATAGGTACCCAATCAAACATTTTATTCATTAAATTACTTTATTAATTTTTAATTAAAATGCAAAACAATAAAAAAAATATATAGTAAAAAATATAAAATATAATATAATAAAAATGCTTAGCTCTTGTACTCAGTTCATATAGAACATCATCAATCTTTAACTGTATATTTCGATGGATATTCATCAGGACTAATCCATTCAACTTACCGATTGATCAATTTTTTCGTCACGTTTTAACATTATAACTAAAAAAAATAAACTCACTCAAATATGTAGTAGGTAATAGCAAATATACAAATATACAAATAAATATTTGTAATATACAAATTAATTTATAACAAGTAACAACTCCCTTGCTGATAATATTTTATAACACATTGATAAGCTGATGAACATTTGGATAATACATTTTGTCGGTTAGTCAATAGAGTAACGATAACAATATTACCTACTTCAATTAATTTATAATTCGTGTAATCGCCAGTATAATCGTACAATCATAATTTATGTTTGATTGCTTCTCTTAGTTTTCATGAAAGGCCGGTCATAGAATATACTACGTGACTATACTAATATACGTAATATACTAGATGTGCTCTATACTAAATAGTAAATAAAGGACGTAATTGAATAAAATAATAATATCAATTTTGTGAAATGTTGCATTGTAGGTATTATTATATCAAAATAAATTAGTTAATCTCATAGGAAAACAATTTAATTGGGGGGGGGGGTATTACCCCTAACTTCTCCTGGGAACGCTACTGATAGAGGGTAGACATCAGTTATGGTTACGTTTGTATAATTCATAAATTTGTATAATTTGGTTTATAACATTATATCGTGGCACAAAAGCACGGTTATGTATAAATAATACCGGTTTAATATTCGTTAGTAATAATTTAACTCGAAGCCATTTGTTTACAGAAATTACTAGAACACAAGTTAAAACCAGGTGATCATTGAACCAATATTGTAGATGGTAGATACCTACTTTATATATCAAATTACCAATTATTATGAATAAGATTTAACACCAAAAACAAGGCATCAAGCGATGAAAAACAAAGTTGAACTAATTAAATTTAAATTGATTATTTTCAATTTTATAGATCTATTTCCACGTACCAATCTCTAATTTCTCTGGTAGACGGTGACTCTGGTAGTAGGATTTTTTATCATAGAACTTCGGAAATTATACGCATTGTCACCAAATTTCAATTTTACACACCATTAAATATACAATTATAGTGTTTTCACTTTGATTAAATGTTGATAGAATATAGTCTCTCCAAAACCTTAAGTAAAATAAAATAAAATAATTTGCAGAAAACATAAATACATTATTTAAAAACAAAAATAATATCATTATGTACAGTTTTCATTCCGAGATTTAACTGCTTTGGCCGTGTACCACCTTTCTGTAAATGTTTTGTTCTCTAAATATTGCATTACGTTTATCTCTAAAGCGTATACGTGAATGGTTAGGAAAATATTTATTTTATGATTTTCAGTATACCCATATGTTGTAAGCTTTGGTTTTATATATTTTATTCTTAAACTTAGTGTTTATTATATAAGAATACAGTAGTCACTCGATAATTCGATATTCAGGGAACCGAGCTGAAAATTCGATTCATAGAGGTTTTCGTATTACCGTGTGTTTGAATAATCGAGATGAAAAATATTATTTACATTTGTGTTTATCATTTATTATACATTTATTTTTATATTTATATATATTATTATATATAAGGCTCGGAACTTAATGCACTTAAAAAGTACTAAATATGCATGCACTTATGCGCTTAAAAAAGTACAAATATACCTTAAAAATATGCACTTAATTTTTTTTTTAACTCAAACATTTTCATAAATAAAGATATTTTACTAAACATACTCGTACATATCAACAGTACAAATGTTATTAGTGTATTATACTAAGATAAACATAATTTCTAGGTATAAATATATAAGGTAAAATAAATTAAAATAAATAACTTTAAATTTGAAATTTCTTTCAAAATCTTCCCATTAAATTATATATCTGTAAAACATAAATAAAAACTAGAAATAACGTTTAGAACCCAATTCATAAGTAAGAAATACATTTTGTTTTTACCTGAAAAACTATTGCATTGAACGACTAAAATTTTTTTAATGTTTTCAAAAGTTAAGAGATCGCCAACTATCCGATTAATATAATCAACGATAATCATTAAATTGTTACGGTTAAATATAAATAAAATTGAACATTTTGTGTCAACCTGAGATTTGAGAATTATGATAGGTACAATATCTAATAAAATCTCTCGAAATAAATATTTAATTATTGTTAACATTTTTAAATGATATTATCAATTCATCAAATATGCTTTAAAAAATGGCAAAATTAAGAAATATGCGTTTTAAATTGCTAAACCATTAAATATGCACTATACATTTTTAATATGTTTTTCGTATTGTCATGAAAATAATTTCAAGCTTACTTAGCAATAAATTGAATAGCCCTATAAAAATATGCACATACAACATCTTCCGAGCCCTAATTATTTGATATTAAAGAAATCTGTTATTTTTTTTTTTTTATGATAAAGTGTTTGCTACAATCTGGTCTATAGCGTTTATTTTAGTATAAATGAAAGCGTAAAAGCTGGGATATAAAAACATACAGCAACATATTTTTTTCACCAGTTTCAATAACCGTGATCACTTTTTTTTTATTGTCTAGTGACAAACATTTGTACTTTACGGAACTCGTATTGAAACTGACTACGTTTTATTCAATTTAAACAACCGTTTTTCTATTTCAGACGTTTATTTTGATAAAATAAAACGATTTATGTCAAAAGATGTAATTCAATTCAAGTGATATAAGGTAAACTACGATATTATTTTATCGCCGTCGTTATAAATGTTATTAAAATCATAACAATAAATTTATTTAATATTACACACAGTAGAAAAATTCGAATAGTAAAGTGTCTTCCACCGCTAAACATTTTGAATTAACGAGGCGACTGAAATAAATTAATGAATTATGTGTTAATTGTATTAAATGTACTAATTATATAGGGGACCAAGCGTTTAGTTTGATTTATGCATTTTTTAATTATCAAGTGACTACTGTATTTATAATATTGTAGATACACACAATTATTTATTTAAGTTCTGAAAAGGTGTAGATTACTGAACATTAAGTCAATTAATTTTTGAAGGTTGTAGAGGCGGCTTCAGGGGGGTCTTAGGGGCCACAGCCCCCCAAGTTCGTACCGTATTTATAAAAAAATTGTTATTGTTAACAAAAAATGTATATTATAATATGGACTATTATACGACACGCACAAGTATGTATATAGAGCCATAGAGGTACGACAGTGTAAACGATGTACCTACTATCTATATTATGAAGAACCAATAAAGCCATAAATAAACTATATTAATATAAAATATACTATGGTATGATACTATGATATTATTATTTTATAGTGTTCAAAACATGAATTGCGTAGCATAAATTTCTGTACGGATTAAATTGTTGTTTTCTTTTTATTATAAGATTTTGTAAAATTATAACTTGCCACTCCTCCCTAACCAAGGCTTTGGAGCCGCCCCTGGAAGATTAAAGATTTTGTTGAATAAAGTCTTATTACATTTTAAGACGTATTTTTACGTATAAAAGAGTATAATCGTCATGACTGTAAATATATTGTGAATTTCCCTGTTTTTGGAAAAAAATGTTTTATAGTTGATAATAATATTTGTCTGCATGTTAACAAGTTAATTATTTCGTGTCTAAAAACTTAAATTAAAATATTATTATGTACTCATATGGTCAAAAATTAACCATAAATAAGTTCGTGTAAAAATAAGAGACGTTTGTTTGGCTAAAAAATAACTGTTATGTTTTCAGTACAAAAATATTTAATTTATAAAATGTAAAAACTAGATGTGTTGGGGTATTACATGTTAAAAAAACAGTTTCTTTAATTTTCATGGAGGGTATATATTAACTATAGATTATTATTATTTTTTTTTTTTTAGTAAGATTTTAGAGGGTGTAATTTTTGAAGTATATAATCTATTATTAACAACTAGTTTGATATTTTTAACTTTGTTACTAAAAATGTTTTAAAGCTCAATAAGTGAAAATTCCTGGTTCCACCTCTGTTTATAATTTGTAATTGTTTTTTAATTATATGTTACATGCGGCATTATTACATTTATCTATTGGTGTATTTCTCAATACAATTTTAATAAAATTTGTTTCCGAAAAAGTGACCCTTGTGAATCAGTTGAGGATCAAATTGATGAATTGGTTCATTGTGGCCTTATTATTTATATATAAATTTACATTTATATTTAATGTAATACAATTAATATTTTAATTTTTCGCATGGCATGTATATTGTTCAATTTTAAATTTCTCTTTCAATGTGGGTCAGCTTTACGATTTCGTTCATAATTTATATAGGTATTAAGATATTCAATACCTATTTTATTGTTCGACTGTATTTTAAAATATAGCTTTTAATTACACGTAAAATATTATGAGATTTTTACTGTGTAACCAGGAAAGAAATATAGTTTAACAATAAATACTTACATTCGTAACAATACTATCAACATTTTGGTTCCAAACATATTGGGAGTTTAGATTCCGACAAAATTCATCTTCGTGCCAAAATTGTTGAGACGCAACAGTCGCAGACAGGGCCACGCAATATATGTATAAACACATCAAAGGATACATACTGAATGTCAGACGGAAAAATATGATATAACCACGCTGCCGATCTCTCGTATGTATTATGTAAATAAGGCAACATACATTCAAAAGGATTATAGTGTACAATAATATGCAAGCAATATACTGAACGCAATAAACGCTGTATTTCAAACATAATTTAGAGGAGTGTCTTCCACATTTCCTTTTCTGAATCTATTAGTTTTATTATGTTGTATTTTTCTCAAGCGTAAATATTTCTCTAGGAAATATTACATAGTTAAGTACTACTTCGGAATATAAAAAATAAATAGTTCTGGAAAAATATATTTAATCGGAGGAGTATAATTAGAGACGCATTTAAGGGGGGGGACGAAAGGGGCAAATACCTTGAGTTATGATATACTTAAGTTAATTGAGAAACATAAAATTGAACGGCCATACAATTTCTTTCTTCTAACCAGTCATTAAAGCATTTTGGAATAATTATATTCGATATTCATTTTCTCTAGACACGTATATTTGCCTTCAGAATATTTCTTAATTTTTCGTTCGCGAAATAATTATTTTCTTTGGTACTTATTATCCTACCAAACCATAGACGCAACTATGTGGTTTCAATTTCTATACCAAACGGAAATACTGATTTTGGTCAAAGTCTAAAATATCGAACAGTTTTTGGTTCTCTGCAATGTTATTTACAGAAGACATATTAATGGTAAGATCAATTTCTGATCTAGAGGAGGGGAAGTGGGTATAATTGTCCCCGAGCACTGTTGGTGGATGCTGCATTTATATTAGCCCCAGCGTCAAATTCCCTATATACAACACTGAGTAAGATGTATAGGTACAGTATATATAAATTTAACAGTATGCTGATTATATTTTTTTTTTACTGTAGTGATTAAAACGTAGGTTCTAAGTGGATTCTTATGATAGACATGGATCATTTTTATCAATATTTTTAGAAAAAAAATGTCGTGTTAAAGACGTGATCTATATTTTTTTTTGCCGTCACAAATCCAAGCTGTATATTCATTAAATCTTCAAAATAAAAGGGTGACAACATTTGAATGCATAATTTGCGTTGTAAGATTGTATAATAACATCTACCACTAGTACCTACTACATATTCAATTATATTGTCGTATTCAAGAAAGACGAATAGGTGATGCAATGCTACGATTCATTGACTAACATTTATTCCAAATTCCCGGGATAATATAATATATTGGTTTCTTAACTATAGTGTACGACGATAAATTATGGATAAAAACGTTGTCATACTATCGTTATATATTATAACATATTATCGACCGTTTGGCCGCCCCTGATATAGGCTTATAGTAATATTGTATTATTGTTTTATGCATTCGATTTCTTTAGAGCAGTGTTTCCCAAATGGTGTGCCAATACAACTTGAACTATTTTTATAAAAAAACATAAAATGACTTTTTTCGAAATATTTAAATATAATTAATACAAAATTAATTTTAAAATTACAAAAAAAAATATATAATTATAAATTTTAGTGTGAAACCTGTGCTTGATGTTGTTTGCATAATAATTCAATTCTTTGAGGGATCGACAATAAACATACTCGCATTTCTTGTTCAACTGATAAAAATCGTTCACGTTTCTTATTTTTAATATTCGTTAGTGCGGAAAACCCAAGTTCACAAAGGTATGTTGTAGAAAATGGTAATAATATATTTATTGCAATTTCTGTAATTATCGGATACTCTGGTTTAATAAAATGCCAAAACTAGAACAGTTTAAGTTCATTAAATTTTAATTTCATTATCACGATCAGATTTAAGTTCTAAAAGTTGTTCTTGTTCAATTTATCCTAAATGTGATATTTCATCTGATGTTACTGCAAAAGGAATGTGCACCCAATTATATTCGTTAATAGGCAAAGATGGGTAGTATTTTTTCATTTTTTTTTTAACATTATGTGATGATTTATTATCAAATTAGATGTTACTTCTCCATCTGAATCAATATCTGCTGTTAATAGAAACATTTGTAGATTAATTTTCTGTAAGAACCCATTTAATTTATCAGACGATGTTAATATGTTTTCATTTTTACCTTGCATATTGGAACTAAGGATATTTAAATGGTTAAAAATATCAGCTAGATAAGCAAGTTTTGCAGATTATTTAATCGAGTTACGAAATTGCTGTTTAGGTCTTCATTATTGAACAATGGCAACAATTAATTTTTCATTTCATAAAATCTGTTTAAAACGCTTTGCCTTACCCTAATCATCGAATTTTAACCAGTAGCGCATTTAAGGGGGGGGGGGGGGGGAAAAAGGGGCAAATGCCCCAGGCGGCAAATTTTTAATTTTCACACCTTTTTCGGTATTGTTTAGTATTTTAAAAAATATTGTTGAGTATCTAATAAGAAATTAAAAAAATTATACTATACCTAGTCACCTAGGTAATAGTGAAATAGCAAAATAGGTATATTACATTTATTATTCGATAAGATATTATATTTTCGTTCAATGTTTATAATAAAAACTCGGGTACACAGAACGCGGTATTCACTTTAGTGCACATTCAAAAAGTTTACAAAAGGAGTAAAATTGTACCTAAAAGTGTTCAATGTATATTAGCATTTATAAAAGAGAATAGTTTAGTTGAAGTATATCCTTATATTGATATTGCTCTAAGGATGCTACTATGTATGTACACCTTCAAGTAATTGTTCAACGGAAAAATCATTTTCTACATTAAAAAGAGTTAACATTTATTTAAGATCAACAACGAGAGAAAATCGTGTTAATTAATTAACAACCCACAACATTGAAGCTGAATTAACAAAAACTATTAATTTTAATCATATTATTGAACATTTTTCTTCTCAAAAGTCAAGAAAAAAATTATAAGCTATCGATTATTTTATTATATATAATTAATAATAAATATAATATATTTCTGTATCAACTAATACATAAATTAAGTCTCGAGAATCAACTCACCAACACCGTCGAGGCCTAATGTAACACCCGCATTATCGGTTTATTGCAACCCAATTACATCGATTCATGGAACCGCAATGATGGATATATGTATTATGTAAGGAAACATTTAATTTTTTTGTTTGTAATTATGTAAAAAAGGTTCGTTTCGCAAAAGATAATCAAAATTACACTATATAAATATAATTTAAAGATAACAAAACAATAATAATATTAAAGTAAGAAGTTAAACATAATAAGTAATAAATAAATAATAAAAAAATTAGTCCAGTCCCTTCAAAAAATCCTATTTTACTACTTAGGAGGAATTAATACTCTAAAACTTCGAAACCACTGATCTAATATCTGACATTCAAATGAGACTACTCATATTAGTAAGGTCTAATGTAGAAAAAAAAAAGCACTTAGCAATACTTGTTTAAATGATTTACAACACCGCTTATAATTGAATATGCTCAAGTGAAGAAAAAATTTAACAACCCAATAATTTTATTATAATTTTCAATACAACCTAACCAGTATTTATTCAAATAATTTAAGAATTAAAGAGCTGAATTTCATTTCTAGTTAGTTATTTTAGAATAAGCTCTTTGATATAAAATGCATATGAATAAAGAATACATTAATTATTTAATTTTTATATTTTTTTGCTTGGGATTTTTTAAGTTTCTTAAAATTAACACATATTTTAAATAATACTTTTAGTTTACCAAGAAAATACTTGACCAACATTTATAAGGAATATTTATAATGATTAAATAAAAAACAAGAAATAAGTACCATCAAAACAATACATATTCAACATATATTTACAATATTGTATTAGTACATAACATAATTTTGTACTTCAAGCACAATTACCTTAATAATATTATAAAAAGAAATAAATAACATTTGTTGAAAAGTTCACTACAATATTCTGTACAAAAATGGAGAACCATAAAATAACTTAGGAACAAAAAATTCTGCAAATTGCAATACAAAAAAAAAAAAAAATTATTATAATTTAAATTTGAACACTTTTAACGAGTGGCAGTTTGAAAAATTGATTACAAAAAGATATCTGAAAAAGTCTAAGTTTCCCCCATTTTTACAACTTTAAAAATCTAATCATTAAATTATAATAATTAATTATTTTTTTATTTAATATAATTAATCATACTATACTATAATATAATAATGGGGGCCTCGGTATGAAGGCAGTGATGAGCTAAACGGGAACAGAAAATAAAAATCTGTAAATGAGTTTTACACAAAAAATAAGTTAAAAAAAAATATATATACTAAGAACAATAGTATTAAAAAATTAACAATAAAGAACACATTATTTCTATGGTATTTGGGGGTGCCTAATTCTTATTTTACTAACTATACACAAGTTATTATTTACAATGTTAAGTACTTAATTCCTATTCAGGATATTTATTGAATTGATTATTCATTTGATTAATTAATATTTTAAAATAAGTGAATAGGATATAACAAAAAAAAAAAAAAATAAATTAATAAAAAAAAAAAATAAAAAAAAATAATAATAATAATAAATACTAATAATAATCAAACAATTGGTAAACGAATTAAATTAAGGCAATTAAAAATATTGCTAAAACAATCTCATCAAAGATATAATATTAAAAATATTATAGTTAATATTTTATTTATTTTAATGTAAAAATGAGTATTGTTGAGAAAATACAATAACAAGGAACCTGCATTAAAAAAAAAAAAAAAAAAAAAAAAAAAAAAAAAAAATATTACTGATCTTAAGTATTTTGTTATAATAAATAAAATTAAGTGAATTATACTTATATAATGAACAACATAAAACAGTATTTTCAGAATAATACTAATTATTTTAATTCGGATTTTATTTTCCAAATTGTGAGAAAAACAAATGTTAAAGGTTGATAATTAACTGTCCATTGTTACATGAGAAGTGGGTAATAACATACATAAACATTTAAATTCAAACTAATAATTATGTAAGGAGAACTTATCATAAAAACCCACATAATACTCACATTAAAAAAAATTGTTTGTGCTTTGAATTTCGTCATCCATCCATTTAGCAGCCCAAGTTTTGGCTTTAGGGCCAGTAGAACGATATTTATCACGAAAAGATTTTTTTTTGTGGTTAGTATGACGTTGATACCTTAATGGTATATTTGGGGCAGTAACAGTAGGAGCAGGCACTGGGCTGTACGGTCCGTCTAATGGAGCTGGTGAAAATGGAGGGGAAGGTGATGGTGGTGGTTGTAAGGCAGGTGGTGGATCACCATGACCAATACCACTATCTGGACTAGTATTGGCAGCAGCAGCATCTGAACTATTACGACGTCGTTTATCCAATTCTAAAGATGCAAATGTCACCAAGCTATCAAATCTTTCACGAATACGATCATTCCATTTTTCATCTAAAATATATACATTTAGTCAACATATGGCCCACAACATTTAGTTAAGATTAACAATTAAAAATTATATTATTTCGATTAAAACAATTAAATTATTGATATCTTCAGGCCAATACATATATACATATATATTATATTACTTCTTTTTCTTCAAATTAATAAATAGTTAAAGGGTTAAATATGATAGGTATGCCATTAACAAAATTGTATAGAGTAATAATATATTTTTTATACACTTAGAAAATATTATAACCACAAACATGCCAAAAATTTAAATAGTAAACTCATTGATTTTTTGTTTAGAAAATCTTGATGCATAGTTTTATGACAGGACTCTATGAAAACAAGTTTACCATATCTATGATTTGTTAAGATAAAAGATTTAGAAGTTCGTAATTTAAAGTATATAAACAATTTACTCTTATAAGAAAGTAATTTCAATTTTTTTTAAAATGTATACAGGAATTACAAAATTTAAATTTTTAACAAGCCTATTATTTTTTGCTCAACTTTATTAATTTTATGTAAATACAACAAACCACAAAATAAAAATTTTAATAGTTTCAACCCTAATTCATTAATGAAATAATGTTAATTTGGCTTTGAGAATTAAATTAAAACCAAGTTTTATTAAATTTAAGTCATAACATAATTTAAGCTTTTATTAAAAAATTTGACACTACTTGATACACTTTATAATAATTTATATATAAAAATTATTCATGAAAATTGACTAACTACTAAGTTTATTTAACCAACTATAACAATTCAATAAGAGAAATATAATATTTATTCATAAAGAAAAGAAAATATATAATATTTAATTAATTTGAAATACTTTACATGCGCCAAACCAAAGAAGAATAGTTTTATAAAAATATTTATTTTAAATATCGAAGAAACATGCCAAAATATGTAATAAATAACAGTGTATTATACAACGCAATGCAGTGCACTCACCTTAATATTTTACTATGTATTCCAATTCCATTAGGCCAGCTAAAGTTTCTATTTATACAGCTAAATAATACTTCTTGCGACATACTTTAGAGTACGAGTATTATGTCCTAAAATAGAAATTAATAAGCGTGACAAGCAACAAAAAACCAGCAAGACATGCAATGAGTGTAAATAAATTACTCCATATCCTTTCATTAAAATTTTTTAGTTGAAAATTGTTTTCTTAATGTATGATCAAACATAGTAACACAATATTTAAATTTGATAAAATATTTTAATTACAATCATTGATGAATAAAAACAATGTAAATGACTAAAAGTATTTACAAAATAATATACATGTATTTAATAAATGTATTTATAAATTAAAATAATCAAGCAATTAAAATACGAGGATAATGAATGTAAATAATGCTTGAAACTTTCTTTAAAGTAAAAAAAAATAAAATTATAATTTATATTATGTTTCAAAAATAATAAAAATACTTATAATTGTAGCATAAAAAATAAAAACAATTTTATGTTAAGTAATAGTTTATAAAAATTGTATTTATTTTTTATTTTTTATATAAGTACATGGCCACCACCAAAATGTTTAATATTATAAGAATATTAAATCATATACAATTTATAAGATTATAATCATTATGCCTTTGAAACATTGAAGTTTAGGATAAGCCAAGCTAAATACGACATTAAAACAATCAGATGATTGCAAAAAAGATAAAATAAAATCTATTTGGAAGTTGAATGTGAAAACAAATTCAAATTACACGCCAAAACCAAAATCTAAAACAAGTTTGAATAAAAACTTTGAATTCAAATACCTTCTTCTGAGGGTAGTCTGTCAGACATGGGTGTCATTTTTTTGGCATTCATTGGACCAGGTGATTCAGAACTGCGTTTGAGTATTCTGTGTGGCGATTGTGTATCGGATTCAGTCTTTTCTTCTTTAAATGACAAGCCTTCATCACCATTGCTATCATCTCCATCATTATCCAATAATCTATCGTGTAGTGATGCAGCCAATCTATAACACAATTTATAGTTAGAAATCCAAAATTAAAATATATTGGAATTATTAATCAGAGTAAAACATTAATGCACTAAAAATTACAATATTAAATCCTAAATGGGAATCAGAATGCTTGTATTTAGTAGAAAAAATAAGCAGAAAGAACATATTTAGATTAGTTAATTATACTTGATGTTTCAGAAATATTATTTATAATTTTGCAAAATTAATATGTAAACGTCTGTTTAAAATATGTACATAAATGATACCAAATCATTAAATCATATTTTTAAATAATTTTCAGTATTTTTATTTATTATATAATCTATACATACCCTTCAACAGGTTCTTCTTTAAGAGTGGTTAAATGAGGAGGAGGGGTATCATCATTGAATAATGACTCTTGATATGGTTTAAGTTCTGCTTTAGGTAATGGTATGTACATAAATGTACGTTTTTCTGAAGGCAATGTTTGGTTAATAACTTGACTGGTGTCTTTGGTTCTATTAGGCATGGCGAGTGGTACAACCGCATTAATTATGGACTGATTGCTAATTTCTAATGTTCGATTATGTCTATCCATTTCCAAACATCTTTCAATTTCATTATTCAACACATCACCAATTGTTCTAGTTATGACATTTTGCTGCTTCATCAATGGACTAGGTGAAATTTTTTCCTAAAAAAATTACATTACATTTAATGAGTTTCTAATTTAATTAAAACTTTTCTATAATTTTACCTGTGATAAATGTCTACGCAATGCAACTTTGGCAGGTGATACAATAGTATAATCAGGTCCTTTAGATGAAGGCTCATTTAAAGCATTAGTAATGAGATCTTTAACATGTTCATCGTAGAAAGGTACTTTAAGCGAAGTGTCTGATGAATTTCTATTATAGATTTTATTTGAGCGTTGATACCGTGTCGCTAATTCAACATGTCTACCATTTTCAATTATTTTTCTAGCTTCAATTTGTCTACCAGTTTCCAATATTTTTTGAGCCAGAATTTCTGGGTTCTTTTCATCAATTCTTGCTATATCAGGTACGTCTGGCCAATCTTGTGAGCGGATTCTTGATTTTTTACTATTGCACATTTGATTTGTTAAAGCATTATTGTTTAATTTATTTGATGTATTTTGTTTTTCCAAGTTATCAATTTCATTTTTGACTGATTCAATATTTGTAGACAATGTATGTTTTCTTTTTCGATTTTTCACAAGTTCAGTCATTAACAAATGTTGTGTGTTTATTTCTTGATCTGTTGGGTTATCATTTTCGTTTTCTATTAAAAGACTAGGAGTACCAACAGCATCAACTTCAGCAGCTCTCTTATAGTATAAGTCCCAATATTGATTTTCCAATAAATTAGTCTAAAATACATTTAAAATAATTTATTTATATACGAAGATAATGAAATGGGTAAGTAAAAAGTGGAACTTACTTCATTTTTCACCTTTGCTACTTTAGCTTGTAAATCTTTATGCCGTAATACAATTACTTTAGCTGCAGTCAAAACATCTCCTGTCGTATTAGTAGGATAAATATCAAGTTCTTTCATTCGAGTCTTTAAAAGACAACAACTGTCTGTAATTAAATGATCAACTTGTTTTTTGATTTGATTAATTTTCATGTTTAAATTTTGTTTTTTCTCCTGAAATTATTAATTAATAGATTTTTAAAAAATATAATGTAAGTAGTTAATTATCTTACTTTTTCAGCTTTTATTCGTGTTTCGATATCTTCACGGAATTTTTGATTTTTAAACATATTTATCATGTTCATGAACCCTTCTTTATAATCGTCCAGAAGTAATTGTAATGAATACGGTATATCTCCAGTTGGCGGAGGAAGTTCAGTATGGGTAGCTGCATATCCAGCACCAACTCCCGTGATTGAAGTCAAAGTATGATCAATGCAACCTTTTGGGGGTTCTTTAATACTCATGGATACTTCTGGAGTTGTACTTAAAACTGTTTCACTATGTAACAAATTCAGTGATGCTGATATTTTAACATTACGTTTAGATGCTTTACGCTTAGATTTTGGTTTACGAGTTGTAGAAATAACTCTTTTTCCCTTTGTAATTTTTTCAATTATCTTTTTCTCAGTGGCAGTTGTCTCAGAATGAGATCGGTTATGAAATGCAGTTGGGTTGATTTTAAAACTACGACTGCGACGTGGTGTATTACGCTTCATTACTTTTCGTGTAGTCCTACTGTGGTTTTCTACAAATAATAATTTAAATTAATAAATAAAATAAAATATTTATTCATTTATAGAGAGATACCTGTATTATTTTCATTTTCTTCCTCGCTATTTTGTCCACCTAGATCTGACCATGCACGTCGTCCATTACTATTTATTTTAGTTTTATCAGTTGCTAATACTTGAGCTGTAACACTCCCATCAACACTATCACCATTTAAAGTGCTAAACAATGAGTCTGTATCATCAGATGAACTAATAATAACATTAGGATTTGTTATTGGTTTTTGTTTTTCTCCATTGACCTAAAATTTAGTATATTAGAAAAATTTTGAAAAATACAAAACTACTGCTTGTCATTTTGATGAATTTTAATCAAAAATTAGACAATATTCGCAGATTGCAGAAAAAAATGAGTAAAATAAACGTTTTACTTATAATAAAATAAAGACATTTATTTCACTCAATAATATTTCACTAATTACCCTTGATTTTGAAACGGGAGGCTTATTTTGAGTAAAATACCGCTCGAGCTGTAGACAACATTAAAAATAAAAAAAAAATATTTACTTATACAAATAATTAAATATATGAGGAAAATAAAAAACAAAAACTAAAAGGCAAAAAAAACATAAAACAATTTACAACATTTTTTTAGTTTGGATAATAAATCTAACTTTCACCAAATAACATACAGAAAAAAATTAAGAGTAAATATAAATTATTACACCAATAACTTATATGATATAATAAAATATCAAATCATTAATTTATCAACAGTGCTCAAATTGGGAGACTCTACTATTTTTTTTTTGTGTACCCCAACTTTATTTTTAATAAATTTTATTTAATTGTGAATTTCAATTTACATACATTTTATAACAAATATTATGATTTATAATATCAAAACTATTTTTAATATTCGTTTATTAATATGTTGAATTCCGCTACTATTATCACTTATCAGTGTCCAGCCTATGTTAGCCAAAATTAAGTTAGATCAAATAGTGAACACGCAGCATGGTTATAGATAGAACCGTGCTATGCAAACATGTAGAACGTGTAGACCTAGCAACTCGTGCTTAGCAATATACAAAATATATAATTGGCTAAAAATTAATTTGAATGTGTGGTAAGTATAATTATATTTATGCTTATTACCTATATAGGCACACAGGTACATGAGAAAATTTATTTTCATAACAAAATATTTTAGGTTATGGAGAGGGGTGTGTGTGTGTATGCGTGGAAAGAGAGGAGTACAAAATGTAAATAATTGGGCACATGGAACAGTTTTTTAACTATTAGACTGAACCCCTCTACTTAATTTTTCCAATTTGACCACTGTTTATCAACCACCGTTTTCTACATTTACTTTCAATACTATTAAATCATGGCATATGTTTTATATTGGTAGTATTGAATATAAATACAATTATATACAATTTTTTTTACTACATAATGAATGGACAAATGTAAACACTGCCTATAGCAACTCCAATTTTTTTGTTTTATATTAATAAGTAATAAAGAGTAATAATCAATATTGTTTGAAAAACACAACTTATATACATTTTTAAATCATTCAAACTTTTTTCATTTTTCAACCGTATTTAAAATTAAAATTTACAGTATCGAAAATTATATGAAGACAGTTATTTTTTACAATATTACTAATATTTAAGATATTATAGAATATGTAATTATATGCAGAATAAGTTTGAACGTTCAAATTTTTTAAAAAAAATATAGAACATATTAAGCAATAATTATTTATGACCCGGTTAAAAAAAATGTTCAGTCAAAATTATTAGAGCTTTGATAAATGCTTATATGAATGAATTATTTGTGATGAATTCAAAATAATTTTTTATATGAATTCATAATAAAAATTATAATTTGAATATTAAAATAGAAACAGAAAATGTAATAAAATTTAACACAGGCTTTTTTATTTGCAAAATTATTTTAACAGAATAATTTAAAATTAATTATTTATGAGGAATGACTTTATATAGGATATTCTAGATAGTTAATAAAAAGCATAAACATAGAATATTAATAATACAAATATTTCAAGTGAGTACATATTCCTTTAAAAATGGAAGTGCTTACAAAGGAAATATTCTAATAGTTATAAATAGTTTAAGCAGCTGAAATGTCATATTGCAGTAAGGGTAACTTAGATAAATGAAGTTATAAGCATTGGAAAAATAATAGTGCTGAAACATAAGCTCATTAGCATCCCTTTTCTCATATGAATCCAATTAACCAATTAGAGTTAAAAGTAATGTTTACCTTAGTTCGATCAATAACATGTAGATAATACTTAACAGGGTTACAAGTCCATGAAACTGAACCAGTAATAGGTTCCATTGCTGACACATGCATAATAGTTCCAATATCTAATAAAATAACAATCATGAATAAATTTATAAATAAGTCATAAAGAATAAAAAATAATCTTACCACTTAAATTACGCTCGGACATTCGAAAATTAAGGGGGCAAAATGATCTCGAAGAAACAATTCTGGCTCCATCTTTGAGGTCAGCAAATCTTTGTTTCAACATATGGTCTACCTGAGGTCCAAATGCATAATTATTCACAAATACAATTGTGGCATTAGTTATTTTTTCTCTATGGTCTTCACTCAAAAAATCTCCTTTCAGAAGTTGATATTGGCCATAGTGTTTACCATACCAAGACATCCATTTTTGAAAATTAGAATTCATATACTAAAAATAAACATATATCAATTTAAAATCTATTAACTAGTTACTTTAAAAAAATTATTACTTGTGAGTATGATGAAGGTACATCAGCTTTTTCAACACCCCAACACATTTTACACTGAGTTGTAGCAGCCATTTGTAAAACTATTTGGCCCACACCAGATCCAAGATCAATAAATATATCATCTTCTGTGATGTTTATTAGATCGATCATTTGGCAGATGAGATCAAATGATGTTTCTCCATACACCTAAAAGTAAAGTTGAGTACATAATTATTCCATCTAAAGTGAACTATTATGAATTTTATGTTACATACTTCAGGTGAAAATGGTTCATACTGATTCAGTTTATCAGGGTCAGTAACAGAAACATTGTATACTTGTTGTATTATATGACGAAGAAGACCTCTTGATGCTTTCTTACTAAACTTTTGTAAAGAAGTTCCTTTATTCTAAAAAAAGAGAAATTTTGGTTTTTTTTGGTCATGTTTTTCAGAGGAAATAAAAATTTAATACAGTAATACAGTAAACTCTTGATAATCCGACAGAAGACTGTTGAATTAACGAAAATCATAAATTGAATTTTGCATAGAAACGCATTTATACTTTTTGAAAAGCCTTAATTTAATTTATTAAAAATATAAATAATACATACATACTAATTTATAACACACATTAATATTTTGATGTTAGTTTTACATGTTTTTAAGGCAAAATTTGAAGATAAAATACACTCGAATTACTGAACCTACCCGATTACCGAGAATCTACTGTACATGTAATAATAGTAAATTAAAAATATTTTTGATTACATTTGCATGGCCAGATTTTCAATTGATAGTATTTATAATACATAAACAATTATGGTATACAATATAGTATTAGTGAGTTATAAATAGATTTTACTGAAATTTATAATAAAAATTAAGTTATAATTTTAAATGGATCATGAATAGTAAACTATAGTATAAATAAATAAAATTACTAATTTAAAGAATAACTGCATTTAAAAAAAAACACAATAGGGTAAAGATATTTTCGTGACATAGACAATTTCATGATAATATTTGTTGAACATAAAATGTAATTTTATATTACTCGATTGACTTGAAAATTACATTAATTTTTAACCCTAGAACACACTTCACGGTCAAAAAGACCGGGTTTTTAGAATTTTATTCATTGTTTCAAAAATATGAAATATTATCTTAACCCAATTTAGGTACCTTTTAATTAGGTGATAAACTAAAATTAGATATAACACCTAACTGTATACGATTTGATGCCTGTATTACAGAAGGGTTCAAAGTTCATTACATATTAATACAGTCTAAAAGACCGTGTGTGTGATATACTGCGACATTTATAAATAATTTAATTTTATAAAAACTCAATTATGGGTTATCGCAGATAAGATGTTAATTTCTATCGATAAAACGTAAATTAATATTTTATTTTCATTGTGACTGGCAAGATTGTTGTTAGTTGACATTGGTTGTGTGTAATTACGAGTATAATACAAATACAGATAAAGTAACCTAGTATGTAATAACATTTATATGAAAGTTTAATTTGTTTATGTTATGTATCAATTAAAATTATTTGACAATTTTTATTTATTTAAAATCAATAAAATAATGATTATTTCAATTTATCGAGTTTTAATTGAAATATTTCAATATACACGGTTGAAAACACCGTGTGTGTGGAATCTCGTGGATATTTTTAATACGTGTAATTTCGGTTTAAAAACAGTCATTTTAAAGATCAATGTGATTTTTAAGTCCATAGTGTAATAGAGAATTACATTATACGTTCAATAAATAATATCATCAAATTGTCTATGCCATGAAGATACCTTACTTTACATTATATTGAATACAAGGGAAAATATAAATACTATGTAGTCTAACATACATCTGGCTAAAGGCAGGTGGTGTTTTGGCTAACCAATATGCAGGTTGTAAATACTGTAACTTAAGAGGATTGGAGCATACCTCAGATATGAAATAGAAAAAGACAGCTGCTCACTATCAAGACCTATTTTATTTATAAATATTACATCTCATCGTGTAATTTTATAGGCAGTTGGAATTTATAAAAAATAACTGTATGTAATTATAATAATTGTTCAAGTTAAAGGCTAAATTATTAGAAAAGACATGTTTCATTACATAAAAGAACAGCTGAAAAAATGTGATAATTATTTTTAAAAGTGGCAACACTGCAAACATTTGCGTGACAATTTAGTGGATCTCCAGTATCCGTTGTTAGGAATAAGCACACCCGTCACTGAAAAGAGGATAACGTCCCGTAGACATTTTCAACGAACACCCTATTTTTTGTTACCCCAACAAAAAAGGCATCCATTTAACTACAACCCAACCCTTTAAATACAAATTAAAGGGAAAAATAAATTGATTTTTTCAATAGTCAATTTACCATTTGCACCATGCTGTCAATAGCCTTATTGAACCTGTCGCACAAAGACTTCATGCTGTCATATCTACAAAACAGAACAAATATAAATTTAAGATTCGATTTAGGTAATGGTGATAAATGTAACAATAACTTACGATTTCGTGTTGTAGTCGCATAGTATGTTATTTTCTAGAGGAATTTTCATGTCTGGGAAGTCGTCGCACACCCATCTATAACAAATACAATATAATACAATATTAATGCATGATAATATATAATAACAATAACAACGGTAATTATTTCATTTTTAATTTACTGCAGTTAGTTAACTTGATGCACAAAATGCATCATAACATGCATAATAACATGAAAATGAGGCCAAGGTTAGTGTGAGATTTTTTCCTCTTTTCATATTATTGGCAATAATTATGACGTTGAATTTAATGTTTATTTGTCCTTGCAACAGTATCTTATCCAATATAATTTCGAGATATTTTTATATTTTAAATCATCAAGAAAGCGCAAACCAAAAGATATTTCTTTTTTTGACACTTGTCATCTGTACGTTATATTATACGTTATACTATTATATAGAATGCATATGAAATACCAGCTGAACTAATACAAAACAAAAATAATTTTTTAAAAACTACTAAAAGTATAACTATAGTTACTTTGTTTTAAAAAAATATTCATTATTTATGTTGATTGTACTTATACCTATGCCGAACATTATCAACAGACAAATATGTAAAATACGTAAATAACAAAGTATTACTACAAGGACGCGTAAAATAATAAAATATGATTTGGACCACTAGGTAATTTTGAAAATGTTTAAATTTAGCAAATAACTAAACTTCTGATAATAAACATTGTAGTATTCACAATAAATGTATTTTGTCATAAACCGCAGCAACAGGTGCGTTAGACAAATGACATTGAAAAGAATAATATATTAAAAACCCGGAAGACAAGTTAATATTTAACATGCTACACACATTATTAAAACACGTGGAACGTAATATTTATAAAATAACTCCAAAATATAGCTATTATATTATAACAGAGTTATTAATTAATTAAAATTTTGAAAAAATATGTTTAAGGAATAAAATGAGTAGATATATACTATATATAAAATATAAACCTAAGTTAGATTACAATGATTAGATTAACCTACAATGTATTAATTTATAAGATTAGACAGCACATAGTACAAAATTTAGTATATTTTACTTTTAATATAATGCTTGCACAAAAATACTAATTATTAACAGTTATAGGTATATTATGAAAACTACGATTTTCTTTTGTTTGAATGCAATTATATAATTTTTAAATTGATAATTTACTTAATATTTTTAATACTGATACTGAACATCTTATTTTATTACTAACGATTGTTGCTACTAATTATTGTATCTGCTTGCATAATAGTAAAAAGAAAACATTTAAAAGTTTTTTTTTTTGGTTCCTAAAGACTTAAATAATAATAGGTGCAAAGGTGTGATTCAAGAAACTGCAATGAGGAGCTAAATCAGTGCTTCTCAACGGGGGCGATATCACCCCCTGGTGAGCAGTGAGGGAGAACCGAGGGGCGGTGAGCTTGTTTTGGGCGATTAGAGGGCAGCGAAGTTTTTTTCCGTTCAAAGCAACGTACCAAGATTTATCTGTAACTGTTTTCCGTTTATCGATTTCTAAAATAAATTCGTGATTATAAAATATAAACTACATATATCAGAGTTATTATCTAATAACGAAAAAAAGAAATCGATTAGACATCGTCAAAAAAGGAGACTTACGGCTTCATCTCACAAATTTTGTACTAAACGTAAAAAAATTGGCTTTAAATCACCAAGCATTTCACTGATCAATACATTTCAAAAAATTTAATTATCCTTTTAAATTATATTTAAACATAAATTTTACATTTTATTTTTTTTATACTTAAATTTATATCTATATTATTTATTATTCAATTATAAACATTTCATGTATACTATTTTTATTTTTATGAAGTGAAGGGGGGGGGCACGGTGAAAAACATTTTGTTACTTAGGGGGGCGGTAGTTTGAAAAAGGTTAAGAAGCACTAAATAATAACGAAAATTATGAAGTCATTATACTTATTAAAATTAAAAACGCAAATATTTTTTTAATATTTTGTCGTCATATTAAAAAATTACATGTATAATTCTAGTGTATATGTAGGGAAGAGGGAAAGGTGTTAAAACTACAGCAACTTTTTTTTTAGTATATATTATATTAAGTGCAAATGTGCAATGTTTTTAGAATAGGGCGAATAAAAATTTTCATTATAGATAACTCAAAAGCAGGTAGGTATAATTAATTTTAATTTTTATGTAAATAGTCAACGAATTAGGCCAGGTTCACATTGGCGAGCGATGGGCGACAGCGACGAGCGACTAGGATTTTCTCTAAAATATATTTAATACATAGTTCCAAATGGAAGTTTTTATATTGGTCTTGATCGATTAGCGATTCTCGAGCGACGCCATTAATATTAATCATGTTTAATTTTTGGTCATCATTTTAGAGCGATATGTACTTTATTTTCAAACATGGAATAGTTCACTTGTTTTAACTAATTTTATTAATTTAACTTTATAACAATTATTAAAATAAATTATGAGTCAGTATAATAAATTTATTTCTGAGCAAAGAGAAATGCTAATTTCCGAAGTTCAATTAAATCGATTTTCAAAAAAAAATCGTTTAGCATAGGGTTTTCTTGGGGTTTTCTAACAGTATTGTTAGCTGAACTATACTTGTTGGCGACATATTGGCAAATGAGAAATTAATTTTGTTCGATAATATATTTTATAAAAAATCATTTCAGCGAATCGCTACTAGATTTAAATATTTTAGTCGCTCATCGCGCATCGCCAATCGCTCTTCGCTTGCGAATGTTAACCTAACTTTAGACGTTTTTGTTCGACGTTTACTTGATTATTTACTGGCAACGTGTACGCACTAGAGATCTGCAAGTGCTCACCAGCCCGACCCGGCCCGTGCCATAATAATAATATTGCGGGTTGGTTATGAGTGGGATCGTAGTATTTTTCTTTGGACTGGGCCGGTCAAAAATAAAACTAATTAAATATAATACTACAATACTAATGTCAATTATTGGTGTTATATAAGGAAATGTTCTCAAACTGAGTAGGTTTATCACAAATTATAATAAAAGATCACTGATAAAAACAAATAATAAATATCATGAACCGGCCTGGGCGGATTGGACTGCACAAAAAATATTACGCACTGGGCCTGGTCGGGTTAGACTTAAAAAAAATTAAGGAACAGGCTTGGTGGGAGGGGCTGTTTTGTAAGTTTAAGTTTTGAGTCGAAAAAAACGGCTCGTGCAGATCTCTATTATGCACACACGCTGTTGGCAGAACAAATAAATTGCAGAGAGCAGCACATGCTAGAAATAACAAGAAATGCTTTTGCTGTTTCTCATTACAACCGATAACCTATATAATAAAATCAAATAAAACAACATGCATAATTATTCTCCAGTCATGTAATATTTGCGGAGTGTACGACTATTGTATACGTTTGGATATAAATTTGACTAGAACACTAGCGAAGGCAATAGCAGAATTTTGTTCACAAAAAAAAAAAAAAAAACATCAACAAATTACGGCATTGCTTAGTCATTCACTCGCGCCTGTACCGATAAATCGGAGAATGGATCACCAAGTACAAAAGTAAATTAGTAACGGGAAATTAAAAAACTAAAAGAACGATACAAAAAAAGGGGAGGAAGCGGAGGCGATGGACTCCGTTGGGCAAAAACGAAACATAAACAACAAATGATACTATATACACTACTCTTTCCCCATGGTTCAAGAACATAAGAAAAAAACGCACATTTAGAGCCCAACGACCATGTTATGATGAAAGGACGAATGATAAAAAAAAAATCAACCCTCCATGAAACGAGCCAGTGCCTCCTCGTTCACATGACGTCACCCGAGAATGCGGCCACGGCAGCACTCGTAACACGTGGAACGACGTAGTCCAGGGGTAGAGAGGAAAAGAATAGTGGTAGAAGTAGTAGCAGTGGCCAATACTTCCGAGGAGGAGGTCGAGGGCCCGGTTGCCGATCGATATTATATTATAATCGGGACGCCGCGCGTTGAGTTTGCTGTTCAGCGCTCATCCACACTGCCGCCGCAAGCTCGGTGCGTGACCTCGTGATTTCCTTTCTCTCGGCGGCGGCATGCAATTGGTTTCACTATTTCCTCCCCGCACCGTCAACAATAATTATGATAAATACAAAAACAACGTAGAAAAACAGACGGAATCATCAACTCTTCCTTCTTCTATATATCTAACGCTAATGTTTTGTTAATAATAATTCTCCTTTTATTACTCAGTAAATTCATACCAATATACGCCGAACGCAACAGTTGTAATAATAGGTACAGGTAGGGGGGACACTATAAAGGCAGACGAGTACTTTATTATAACTATGTATATACCAGCTACATAAACTATTATTATTATTATATTGTGACCACGGACCGTTATGCAACAAAACATAGAAAACCGGTTCGAGATCGCGCGCGCGCACAGCCCGTGGCTTTAGCCAGCGCACAGGTGCCACTGCACTCTCTATTCGTGGTAGATACTATAGTGCGTTACACACGCTCGAGCGCAGCAAAAAAAAAAAAAAAAAAAAAATAAAAAAAACCGTTATAACCGCGAACGTCGTCGGAGAGAAGTTTTCTAGGACATTTCTCCTTCGCCGTCGACAACTACAACAATAACAATTTGCAATAGTTATCACGCGGTACTCGAGTCTATATACAGAATGCCATAAGCGAAGACGATAGTGCAACGTAACGATTTTTCAGTAGAAATCAAGGTTTCACGTTACCAAAAATACGAAGGTAGTATTTCGTTGTAGCGTTCAAAAATTAATTTTTTCCATCTACTTCCAACTCACTATTTTCAGCGTATTGAACCAGTTTTTTTTTAAACATCAACTACCGTAATAATATAACATGACGGAGGTCCATAAGACTTGGCGAAAACGGTTTATTTAGCTATTAATACGTTATTATAAACTAATCAAAAACTAACTCGTTTACCTACGTTATATTATGAAATGTTCAGTTATAAAATATTATATGTAGTTAAATATTTTAGTTGAGTAACATATTAACATTTATTCCGTTCGAATAGTTAATACGACG